CAGCAGAACATCATAAATTTCATCACTGTTTACGAGCTTCCACACTTGCACCAGCGAATGAAAAGGAAACAACATTCCTTGATTTTGAATAAACTGCTCAGAATGATGAATGCTCTGAATGGTTTGTTTCCATTACTATGACTGATATACGCTGAGCATCAACAAATAATTTAAAGAGGGAAATGATGTTCACTGCATATTTCACTTCGTTCTCATGTCTATGATCATCACAAAACACTTCTCGCTGTCCTACAAAGTTGCTCATGTTTTCCCAGGTAAATGTTTCACAAACTGAACTTAAGGGTACTTCATTTCCATTCACAACATCGTCTTCAGCCACAATAATTTCTGAATCACTGCTGCATTCTAAATCAGTGGATTCATCTTCACTTCCTAGTTCCTCCATAGAAGAGTCACATAATGAATTGGATGTAGCCATTCTTCAATCACTGTAGATTAAAAAGGACAATACAGTTAGATAAAACACAGAGAAAAGTTAATATAGACAATATTAGTTTTTTAGATATTAACAGAAGCTAATAACTGAGCACTCACCTGAGTGAATTTAAAAAAAAATTGCTAATTGCTGTAGCAGTCTGGTGACATGAAACAGGCAAAGTCAGCACGTCTGTAGATGGCACCACGCAAATGTAAGAAAAACTGACCTACATGTAGAGATGGCACCCCACGAACTAAAGAGAATAAATGTCGCAGGTACAAGTGAAAGTGTCGTACGTCTTGCAACGGCATACCACACGTTGGTCGGAACTCCCATTTACCTGCTCCCGCCTTGAAGCAGGAAAGGGATTAAGAAAGCTCTGCAAAACATTGCCGTAGCGTCCCTCTTTGTCACATCATTGAAGAGTTAAGAGAATTGTGCAGGTCTCTTGTTTGTGCCTGATTTTGTGGAAATTTTTAAAAATTAGAAAAATTTCGTTGTTTTCCTACTACTGTGAAGATACAATATATATACACAAAAAAAGAAAAGAAAATGCATTCATAAAAACAATCATCTAATACGGTGTTGAATTTTTTGAAAATATGAGTATTTTTTGTATAAAGAGATTGCAAAGTCACCCTCCCAAATTTACTGCACTTCGTGAATATAAGTTGAGAAGCGTTTGAAAGATATTGCTATTCTTATAAAAGAAAGAAGGTTGATGGATGGTAATAAATTTAACTTAGAACTAACAAACTTCTTTACTTCAAGAAATTTTGATCGCAGAGTATGGTAGGTTTCATTTCTGAAAGTTAGAAATTACTACTGTTCCTGGCTTTCAAAAATAAATGCAGGTATCCACCATAAACTAATTTAAATGGTCAGGCTGAAGAGCAGGCTAAATGGCCTGAGCCTCGCCATCAATAAAGACTAATAAGTTAATTAATTAATTAATTTGTAAACAGTTCCTTTGAATTGGTTGGGTTTGGATTATATTAGCATTATTTCAAATTCTTTACATGAAAGAAAATTTGAAAAAATTGTGTACCATCAATTTTTGCAAACATTTTAATTTTATATTACTACATGCGCGGCCTAGGGAAACAATCCAGCGATGTATTTTCAGAAGTTAATTGTTAAATGACAACAATATAAGATAATAGCTGTGGGCTGAGACAAACCTTGCCCCTGAAAAAGACGGCTCACTTAAATTATAAGAGTGCCGAACATTTTCTTTGACCTTAAACAGACTTGCAAAACTCTGTCAGTGGGGTATTTTGCCGCATACGTCTACATTCGTCTACCGCAATTCATCACTTCAAGTATTGCACACTTCTGGAAATACATTAACATTAAAATTTCTGATAAATGTCTTCCGAACTCTGCATACTTCGATGGGATACATTATGATAATCCATACTCATCAGCTAACGCATTTGCTATATACTTGTCAAACTTTTATATACCACCCTCTGATAAAATTTATAACGAATCTGGACAATGTTTGTTGATAACAGTAGACATTTCTGTTTTAGATAAACTTAACGTGATTGAAAGTCTCAACTGTAATAAGAAGCCAGGCCTAGTTGGCATAGCAGTCATTTTTCCAAAGAACTAATAATTCATATTCTCACAGACACTTAAATACACTTTTCATAACTTTCTTTCTCAGGGTAACTTTCCAGCAGAATGGAAATCATTGTTCATAATCCCAACACTTAAATACGAGGGTAAAGACAACATTTTGAATTACAGACCTATCTCTGTCCTTAGCACAATTCTGAAGTTATTTGAATCCCTGATTACGAACAAACTAAAACTATTAATTTTTCCAAACATTACTGAAAGACAATTTGGTTTTGTTTTCAATGCTTACTATTCTACCTACATACTGAATGCCATGGAAAACAAATTGAGCACAGACAACATCTATACCTACTTTAGCAAAGCGTTTGACTTAGTTAATAATTCGTTATTAATTGGCAAACTCCTTTGGTATTTCAGGTTCTTTTCTGAACTGGTTCTAACCAAGAATATTTACTCAATAGAGTCCAATTTGTTATGATTGGGGATGAATCTGATTCTATATCAGTTTCATCAGGCGTTCCTCAAGGATCCCAACTTGGGCCATTATTGTTCCTGATTTTCATTGACAACATGAAACATTTAATAACAAAAATGCAGTTTCTTCTTCTTGCAGATGACTAAGATTTTTATGGCCATTCGATCTAGTACCAATGTGATTGCCTTACAATATGAACTTTATTTATTCATAGATTGGTACTTGTTTAATGACCTGACTTTAACTGAACTTACACTGAGACAACTTACTCTGGAAAAGTTGTCTTCCATTCATGATCTCGGGGTAGTTTTTGACAGTGGATTGTCTGAACTTATCTGATCTTCATATAACCCATGATTACACAGCAATAGCTTGGTCACTCAACATCTCTACACTCGAATCTTATAGAAACTATATATCTCTTATTTTCTTATACAAATTAATTCGTGGAATTAGAGAGAGCCCTCTTCTGCTTCAGCAACTTTGCTACAGAGTCCTTGCTATCAATATTAGAAATACAAATGTTTTTTACAACAATATGCTCCGAGCCTCATATATCAACAATAACCCTATAAATATAATTTGTACCTTGGTCAACACTCATAAAAATAGTATTTTTGAACCATTGAACATTATATTCAGACATCATTGTGAGTGAGAAATGCTTGAATTTGCATTATTTCATTTACTTATTTATACTCCAACAACAGCTATTCTCCACTGCTTATAAGTTCATGAAAAAAATACAGTGACAATTGTAAGTACTATCTACTGTGTCATTGTAACTCGTTTGGATAGAAAAGGACTGTGTAGGTCTGTGTACTTTTGAAAATAAAATTAAATTAAATAATGAAATATTGAATTCTTCTCTTTGTTGAACATTGGTAGGCACCCGTTACGAGGCTTTGTTTTATTTATTTGTACATATTTCTTATTTAATGTGAGAACAGAAAAACTGAGTATGATGTATTATGGGGAGAAATATATTCTGTGAACGTTTTCGTAAATTCTGGTAATCCTACCCTCCCTAACCCATTTACATGTAGAATTCTGAAGTAGTAAAGATAATTTGAGGAAATTTAATTAGGTGTGAAAACATATATAGCATTTAGCGTTGCATGTTCAGACAAGGAGTAATGTGTAATTCATGTTAAAACAAGCATGTTTGGAGAATAGTACAATAGTATTATATATTTTTTATCTATTTCCATTTGTTTGTCAAGACTATCACTTTTTATTAACATTTAATTATTTTATACTTACTCGCATATGCAGAATAAGGCTAAAAATGCTTCGGTTATGATCCTGAATACACTGCACACCTTGTACAACGAATTCGATGCCAGAAAGATATTTTCATTTACACGATTGAATAAAAAGTCTATTGCTTGAAACTATTTAATTTTCACACCAAATGTTCTACGATTTCTACGCTTTACAAAAAATGATGACTGAGATGTGTTAAATTGGAGTGAAATTGCGGCATAAATAGTATTACATAACTATTACTAAGGGCGAGAAAGTACAAGCTGTTTTGGCACTACTAGTTTTATAATTCCCATTAAGAATGCTCCAAAAAGGATGTTAATGCAATTGATGAAAATACTTGACATCATGTGTTAAGTCGAAAACACTAAAAATATAAGGTAATTTTAGACTAAGACGCATTTTACACTATTAAGACGAGTTCCCACCTTCAAGACAGAAGAATACAATCCTGTAAAATGACATGCCGTATTTCAAAAGGCAGTTACAATGAAAGATAAAGGAAATAGTTCTATTTGTTATCAAAAAATACAATCCCATTTTAATGGATTTAAAAATTATGTCTCATAAATCACATTCTCAACTGACACATTGATGGAATCTTTCCCGCAAGTTGACCATAGTTCTTCATAGGGAGAAGCCTGGTTCCAACATGACGGAGCCACTGTTCATACTTTGCATCATTCTCTACCGATTTTGAGAGAGTAGTTTCCTGGAGGTCGTCTCTCTTTGCAAGAAGACATCACCTGACGCCATAGTCAACCGATTTATCACCTTGTGATTTTTTCTTTGGGGGCACTTAAAAGACACAATGGCACAAACATTGCCCCACAACCCTGAAAGTACTCAAGGATGCAATCACCCAGGCTGTGGCTGCCATTCCACTTGAAAGGGCAAGAACTTCCCTGAAACGCTTCATCGATGTGTCAAAAGTACAGGACACCATGTACAGGAAACAACGGTTAAAACCAAAAAATGTAAATTGGCATAGTATTTGTTGTTCTCAAATAAAATTATTTTTTCTGTATCTTTTTTTACACTGTCTTTTGAAATATGGGAGGTCTTTTAGCCGGTCCCTGTATATGCCCCTAGATGTCTGTTATATTGGGGTTCACCATGATTTACATTCAACTTCTTATTCTCTTCTCTCATAATTATTTGGATGAACAATGATATCCTTTCATAAACATATTTCAAACCTAAAACAAATAACAGATAAAATAACGAACCTACCTGGAGTTCCTTAAAATCTTGTTCAAATCTACGAAGTTCCAAACATTGCCGCAATTTTGCTGAATGATTTTGCCAAAATTCATCAAAAGTTCTTTCTGTTTCCTCAAGTTGAACTAACAATCTGTCAACAATAATTATTTAAGTCACTTAAATATAGGCTCAAAACACAGATACACAAAAGTTAAAAGTTATTTTTCAAGAATAAAAATATGGGCTACACCAGAAAATGTGGACAAATGATCAAATAGGTTTCAAATAACATCAAAACCTGTAATTCGTAAACATATGACAAATGTTTGATTCTAACCTAAAAACAAAATACTTAATTACCTGCAAATCTAGGCTCTTGTCATTAGTCTCATTGGAGTATGTTCGATTCAGACAGGTGGCGGTGATCCTTCCCTATTCGAATGTAAGATCCAGCAAAAACTAGTCTGCCATTGAAGGTTTCTCTCTCCATGTATCTGCCAATGGGACACCCTAACCAGGACAAGCTCTACGCTTGGCCTCCCAACATGTGTAGTAGTGCAGTGCATATGTGAGTGCAATAGGAGAGGCAGAGAAATGAAGGAAACAACATGAATGGTACTTAACCAGTCTGGTAAGGGTCTGCTCCGGCATTCAACTGTTATTAAAAAACTGGAAATTTACAGATCAGAGCAGCTGAATGTTAAAATTTTCCTCCGAAGTGGCTGAATCCAACCTAGATATCTAGCTAGTCAGTGGTGGCTACATTAGGGAGATTCAACGAGCACTGCCCTTCCAAATAATACGCATCCACCTTTTCTTTCGTTTAGTATTTGATATTAACGTTGTTGTTGGCCATGTTAATTCTCGATGTTTTCACTATTCAAAACACCCAGAATTTTATATTCTGTTTTCCTACAATCTCACTGGCTAAGGGTGTTCGAGAACTGTGGCCAAACAGTTCTGCTGTAAGTTCAATGCTTTGGAGTTGTGAAAATTGTCACATAGGACTGGCAGCGTTTTGAGGGCAGAACCCAGGATCAGTGACTTACTCAGAAAATGTTTTTTTGTAGAAATTACAGAGCTACCTTCAGATGAGTTTCTGACTCCATCTCCAAATATGTTCCCCTGATTAATTCACAAGGTGCAGAAGTGCACAAAACCTATTATATGATGGAAGAACGTTTCCTTAACCAAGACCTATTCAATACTCATTGTTCTCTTGCACATTTCCTGTTGTGTTTGATATTCTTCACTTGCACTGGTTTTGCTTGGTCATGTATAGTGTTTCGGGTCCTGTCCATTTCTTACTTTCTTTCTGTGCTTATAGGCAGCATTTTATTTCATCATGTATTCAAATACTGTGAATTACTTAAGAACAGCAATTCTCGACTATGCAATGCAAGTGCCTATTAAGAGAATGGGACCACCTCAACCGAAACTGAACATAGTTCAGAATAATAAAAGCTGTAGTCGCTCTTTTAACAGATACTTTAAAGAACAACTTTATTTACAATAATTGGCTTTGTAGATGCAACAAAGTTAATGCTTTTTGTAGTTTTGTGTGTTAACTGTGTTCACCCCAAATTGATAGTGCATAGACAATAAACGAACTCCTTTCACTTTCCATTCAAGAATTTAGTGCCTCCCTCAAAACTGTCCCTGGAGTCACCACTGTAGCTATTTACAAAAATCCAGCGCTGTTGGGACCCAAACCCTAGGACCACTCTTGTCGGAGAGACTGCATTGGCAACAGTTTCTGCCCAGAGCCAATGGAGCCATTTTTGAGATAATTTTAAAAATGTAGAGGTTTCATGTAAAGTATCCTTCAAAATTATCCATTTCAAATTTGCAGGCCTGCCACATGAATTAGATCTAGAGGGAATATCTCATTTGATGGCATTCTTTTGTAGTTAGGCATTAGTGTTGTTTGCTGATGTATATTCAAACAGGTGTTTTGAAGCCCCCATCCCATACACAAAAAAAAAAATATATATATATATTTTTTTTTTTTTTGGTAACTCCCAACATGTAACCACCAATATCACAACATCAATTCTTTGGAACATAATTGAACTTTCTCTACCCTATGTGACACAGAAAGTAAGAAAGAAACAAGCCTCGAAATTCAAATCACTAACCTTTCAACTGCTGTGACATTCCCAAGTCTGTAAGGGCAAGTACGATACATTTCCATTTGTTCTTCTCGATTGCCAGAAGAACAGTTGCTGTTTGGACACTGACGAATACTATTCAGTAAATTTTCACCATGCCGCGCAGCACTGAGAATATCCTCTTTCAAATCATCATATTCAGAACCCTAAACATTAGCAACAGGTAAACCAAATTAAACGTATAACATAATTAAATGATGAAGTCAAATCATGATCATACATTAGCTTTTTCTACAATGACGATTAATGGAGTACTTACCTGGGATTTTAGTAATTCTTGAGTAGCATCAACATCATTTGGAAATTCTGTATCCTGAAGACTTTGTGTAAAACTATCTAAGGCAGCAGAAACTTCTTGAGTGTTGCATGAAAACTTCTCCAAAGCCTATACAAAAATAAATCTAATCTCATATTTTGTTCTTGTGTAAAAAGGAAAATTTATTGATATTCAGTAGCCTCTCAGGATCACTGTAGTTCAATACTCCTTGCAACAACATCAAAATGGATTTCAGATTTTATTCTTCATGTAATTGAGTTGTTACACACTTTTTTAGAAACTGGATATGTAATCAGACAATTCATTTGTAATATTCCTCCTATAAAATTTATTTTGTATCACTCAACAGACCTTGTCATAGTTTAGTTGACATTTTTCTGAGCTTCTTGCCATGCACATTTCAAAGTATGTTCAGCAAGAGAAGTTGTTGTTTTTGAAGCAAGGTCATGCGAACATTTTCACTCCTGTACCAAACATCTGCCATATCAATGTTTAGATGAAGTTTTCCTATCAGATTTTCAAAAATTTTGGATTAAATTTTTCTCCTTGGTTAAAGAAAAGGACGCTTATAAAAATTATGCAGATTCTCTTTTCAATTAACTCACTCTATTTCCAAAAATAGCAAAAAAATAAAGTTGCAAAACTACAATATATTAATCAGAGATTATTTAATGAAATCTGTTCTGAAACATTAGATCTGTCATTAAAGTAATCTGTATTATTTTCAAAATACAAGTAGTTTTCATTTCATTTTTCTTAAAGTAAAGGCAACTAATAAATATTTTTTCTAAAAAATGGCTCCAAATTTTTTCCTTGGTTAGAGCAAAAAACATTTAAAACAGGGGTGAAGGACACATTCTCATTGACATCACTGAATTTTTTTAAAGGGCAAAAGTTACAAATAATGCAATTGTTTTGAATGAAATGACTAAGCTTTTAGTCACAGTAGCTAACAATTTTATCTTTATATTATTACCATTCTTTGCTGTATCCATTCTTGATGGCAGTACGTTATTTGACCTCCTAGGTCAGGAGTTAGTTGACTTTTATCAATGTTTTCATGAAGTTCCTCTATACAATTACAAACAACCACCTTCAAGAAATTCAAATGAGATTAGCATGAAAAAAAAAATTAAATGAGATTATTTCAGAAAAATATCAATAATATTATTAATCTTACTTTGAATTTGAATTCTTCTTTAAATAATTTGTTGCTAACTTCTGAAATAGCCTTTTGGAGAAATCCTGCTGGTCGAAGAACATATGCCATATGTATAAGACCAGGAAAAAAACCCTGAAATTTTTATAAAATGTAAAAACTAAAAGATATATGGCTTAATATTATGTAGTGATTACAAGCATTACATACCGAAATTTTGAGCAGGACGGCCTTCACTGAATTCCACTTATCATTCCGACGATCAATTAACAATACAAATCCTACATCAGCCTCTTGCATCCTACAAAGCACACAGAAAAGAATGAATTAATGTATATCAGGTACTAATCCTACATATACTACTTATGCAACAAAGCAGGCAAGCTGTTTACTTACGAGGGTACTGAAGTCAGGTACAAAATAAGGCGCTGATATTCTTCGTCTCCCAAACTGCAGAAATTTCCCAAATCTGGGAAAGTAATAATTGGGCATCCTTCCCTTGATTTTCCCCCTAGAACACACAAATAGTTTATAACAATTCTTGAAAATATTTTTGCAATACTATGCATTTTTGTTACCTGTAATTATAGCAAACTGTGCGTGCAAAAGGTCCACCACATCACGTACTGCCAAATCACTTCCTTCCATCACATCATCTGTAAAATAAAGAAACTAATTGAAGAAAGAGAATAAATGGACCTTGGTGGAGTGTGATTTTGAGAAACTCGTGTCATCACATTTAAAGACATTTTAGAACTTACTTAAAAAATTAAGTTTATGTACAGAAGTTGGTATTGAATTTCACTTGGAGATAATTTTGACGGAAAAAGTTCTGGTATTGAAATATAATACCGAACACAATTGGTACTTCCCAACTTTATTAAATTTATGTTATACCAAATTCACGATGTTTCGTCAAAATATTATTTTGACATGATTAGTAACCTAAAAACTTGCAAACAATATATCATTTTTTTGTGAATATTAATTATATTTGTGGTGTAATGATGAAACGTTAAATATCAAGAGGATGCTTATTCAGTAAGGGCCCAGTGATATATATCTCACCTGTTAGTTCCCGCTTCAACGTGTCGCAAATCTGTGTAGCATCTCCACACTTGCGCTTTTCTTGAACAAGGTAATAACACTAGTTTTGCGAAATTTCCCTGCACCTAACGAGACTACCTTTCATTGCCTAGAACGTCATTCCGTCAGTTCGGAGCACGCAGCAGCGCAGGAAGTGTTTGCTTTTATAAGGCACGTATTGTCTCGTGCTGTCACGTGCGTCGTGTCTTCACATTCAAATACAACGAAAACATGTCAATCGAGTGCACATTTCATTCGTCAGAATTGCCTTTCGCTGGCGTATTGGTGAAATGGATTCAATTAAATATTCGTAAAAATTAAGACGAATAAAAACTATAGTGGTTTTCCATGTACTCCATGGCTACATCCTCTATACCCCCTCCCCATGAAAGCGCAATTAATACAACGCGAATAATAAACTACTCGACAATCTCATCTGCAATTTTCGACAAAACGAGTTTGCCTGATTCACATTGGCTAGTCCGCCCCCTATGAAGTATCTTAAACTCTACCCCAATTTCTTCCCGATTCTGGTCGCTGGGTAGTGACACAGGAGCGCATGTCCGTGTGAGAGGCGCGTACGCGGAAATGCTACCTGGCGGTCCTGCGGTCCTCAGGAGAACGACATGCGGACTAATAAGACTTTAATAGTAACGGAGGATTATTTCAATAAATGTATAAAGTATGGGAGGATTACTCCACAATCACCGCTCAACGCTCTATAAAGGTTAGAGACGTGTTGCGTCGTGATGAAGACGCAACAAATGTAAATAAAAAAGCACACTAAAACTAAAACTAAAACTAGGGGTTCTTTACTAGTAAGACCCACGACTGATTTAAACTAAGTCATGCAGACTTCCTTGATTATTTATTTGTTACGGTTATGTAAAATTTACCAGGTGTCACGGATAAAATTGGCAAGCTTCTGAGCCGCTTCGACAGAAACACGATCTACAAAGCCCATGAAAAACTCTGGCAAAGGTTATCAGTGGAATATATGATCCCATGCATCTGTGACCACAATTACAATGGCGAGACGGGATGAACCATAGATAGTATTGTGACTTGCTCTAGACTTGTATAGGCGAATGAGTTATCGCGGCCGATACACATTCGCCATTACAAGTACAATAATACGAATAAATCGGCCGTAGCACTCTACGTATGGAAAACGGGCTACGCCATTCTATTTCTCGTTTGATAACGCCCTTCTCCAAGCCAGAGAAGACCGCTGGGAACCGAGGAAGGTAAAAGAGGCTGCGAACATTGTCAAACATCCTCAAAAAGCTCAATGCCGACCAAGCCCTACGTCTCCACGAGGCCTGGAATCTATTTTTACCATTATGCCCGGTCGCAGTCCCTGCTGCTCCACGACGTCCGATTACGGGCGGATCGCCTGCTTCCACCCCCGCTCCCTGATTGGCCGATGTACTCTCTTAACATTGGCCGATCACCCGACCAACCGGCTGATGGGTGAAAGAGAACTTATTAGAAAAGAGTTCTGCTCCTACAAAATTAATGCAGATATGCATCACGGCTGACACTTTGTTTGAACCAGACATTTTCAAGTTATAGCTGAGGTTTTAGTAGCGCAGAAAATACAATACTTCAATATTACATAGCTGTTTCTAATAACGCGAGAAAGTATGTGCTGTTCTAGCAACGCTAGTTTTTATTTACATACGAAATATGGGGCCTACTATTACAAGAGTATTCAATTTATTTCCGACATTTCTGACGTATTTTCGGGAGGCTGTAGGAGGAATCGGCTCCGGCTTGGTCGATTTTTTCGGAGTTATCTCGGACACTGTCTTCGACCGATTTTGAACTTTTATGCATTTTAGGAACTACTGACAGGGACAGAGTCTCAACTGGCCATCTTTTAAGGATAGATAAAGGTTCTTCAACTTTTTTGCATCGAATTCGCCAGTTACACTTCAGGTACACAAAGTACAATATTCACAGTAATACAACAATATATATATATATATATTGTAACGATTCGAGCTGATACGATGTAGAATTTCCATGAATAAAATAGCGGACGCCCACCGATGCCACCGCTGTAAGGCACCCCCGCCTTATGGCAGGACACCCCCGCGCAGTTTGGGGAAAAGGGAGCAACCGGGTCCCGCTGAGTCCTCGAGAGGGTGCTTTCCTCACTCACGCGATCGCTCGTCAAAATGACCCGAAGTTAATTGCGCCCACTTGGGGGAGACATTTACGACCCCAACGAACCGCGGGGTATGTGCGGGTCCGAATTAGATCATGGCGATTTTTTTCGCCGGCCACGACAGAAACATCGCCCGCGGCAGCAACGATCATTTTAACTGTAAAAAAAGTTCCCGCGTCATTGGTAGAAGCCCCTCCCCATCGTGCTCCGCGAAATTCAAACACGCGTATCGGGAGGATTCTCACTGGAGAGGGGGGTACCGGGACTTCATGATTCGGGAGAGCAGCTCTGAAAAACACTTATTCGAACATTATTGCGGAGAGAAGTCGAGCTCTCACACTGACTTATTCTAACATTCTTGCGGAGAGAAGTCGAGCATTCACACTCTGACTTACTCTAACATTCTTGCGGAGGGAAGTCGAGCTCTCACGCTGACTTACTCAAATATTCTTGCAAAAGGAGACATAGTTCACGGAATGGGAAGGGTTCTTGCTGGTGGTGAACGCCACCGACCAAGTATCAGTGCACTGTAGCACGCGGTCACGTGCCATAGTTCGATTTGTCCCGCCTACGATTGTCGTCCGCGATTGCCCGATACGGAAGACTTCCGATCCGTCATCGCCGATGCAAGCCTGTAGCTGCCTGGAGGTTGGCGACGTCATCCATGGGTCCAGCCTGAGCGGGCGGCAACGCTAAACGGATACGGTGAAGTGCAGCCGTGGTTCTCCGCAGCTGTCTGGGGGCGGCCGGCCCTTGACGCCGGTCAAAAACTCCACCACTGGGCGTGCTATGATGGCCGCCGACAACGACAACGAAAGGGTAATCATTCGCTTTGCTCCCGCTAGAATGCGGACGAACATTTCTTTGAGTCAGAGAATCAGTGAGAAAGCAGACCGTCAGTACATGTAGTCGGAAATAAACAGTCGGTCAGTCAGTGTACGTAGTCAGTGAGTAAGCAGACCAAGTCAGTCTGAAGTGCAAGCTGAGCTGTGAAGTGTGCATTGCGGTGAACAGTGATGCAGTAGGAGAACAGCAGCCTGAAGTCGGAAACAAAGCTGTGAAGTGTGCATCGCGGTGAACAGCGAAGCAGTGGACCCTGATCAGCACCGTGAATTGTCGTCTGCGCCGTGAACTGTGGTCAGCGCAGTGGACCGTGGACAGTGCATCGGACTGAGCGATAATGTAGAAGTGAACAGTGTAAATAAATAATCAAGAGAAGTGAATCATGTGAAAGGAAATAACAAAGTAAAGAACACTAAGACTGAATCCTATCTGTAAATAAATCAAATATTTTAGTGTATCATTAAGAAATATAATACGACTGTTAAATATTACCTACCTGTTTTAATTCACCACTAATAAATGTTAATATATGTATGTTACGTATATATATATATATATATAATATATATATATTATATATATATTATATATATAATTAGTTCCTCTAACACGTTGAGTAGTCAGAATCCTTGTTTTGTGGGTCCTTGATACCGAAAAACTGATTGACGGTAAAAACGTATGTCTGTGCGAATGTTTGTGATCAATGCTACCGTTCAAACCTCTCTACCCGATCGATTTAAATGAACTCTGGGCCTTGTAAGTTTGAAACGGATATTTTGATTTTGGGCGGTACTTTACATAAACCTCAAGATTTTTTTAAAAATTGGCTCCAAGTTTTTTTATTAAAATGTGCTTTCCGATGACGAAAAGAACGCTTAAGAGAATGATGCAGTTCTCGTTGCAAAAATTCCATTTTTTCGGTATTATCCTGCAACTACAATATTGAAGATATATTTTTTGCAATGAAATCTGCTCCTTAAAGACATATGTTGAATTAAGATCGTGTGCAATGCGTATTCGACTTTGCGTATTTACTTATTCCCCCCGTATTTGTACGTTGAAGAATCAATGTAATATCTTGACAGGATTTTTGGAACTAATTGAGAATTATCTTATACTTTGTTTACGAATCCAACTTGTACTTTTGTTCTTTTTCTTTAGAATTACTGCATATTTAAGGCTTTTAAATTGAAATACCTAGTAAGGAGACAGCGCAATTTTCTTTCCCCCGGGCGGCTGACAAACGTCACTGCGTTGTCACAGACACGCACACGTTTTATCACCACCAATCTTCCAGAACGATGAAGGATGTACAAAACGTGAATTTAGAGAAACGAGTTCACAAAACGTGTTAAAGATAGTAGTTTGCTACATATAGGAACAGGTATTATCCACCTTTCGGTATCAGGTACGTACAATACAAATTTATCTGCTAAAATATATCTCAACTTTTCGCCGTAGTATTACATAACTTTTTCAATACTACAACATACTACATATTTCAATACTACATTTAACTTTGTACGAGCTGGTTCTCAAGGTCACGTACAATTGTTCGCAAGATATGCTGCAGTAGGCATAACGCCAATACTTGCATGAAAATTGCGGTAAACAACGCCAAAAATGCGCTGAACTATTATTGTCTTCCCTGGCCTTCTTTATTTTCTATGTTACAGAGCAGCCATAATGTCCGAAACGATAGGGACAGCAGGGACGTGTGGTGGCATTACACTTCGCGGTCACATGGAACTATGTTGCAAAGCTATGGGCTCCAGACCCTCTCCTGTCAACTTCTGTGCTCTTCGCAACTTCCAGTTGCTGGTCAGTGACGAGACGCATACTGAAAAAAAAATCTCTTGTGCTTTCGGACCTTTTTGTTGTTGTTTTGAGCAGTTATTATCGTGAATTGTTCTTTTTCGTTCAAATAATTTCTGGTGAATATTATATTGGTGCGTAAAATGTCGGAAGGTAGTGAGAGTAAGAGATGACGCCCTAGAAAACATCCTCCTAAAGAAAGAAAGAATTTTGGTCCAGGTGTTCCCTTGTGAGGTCAGTCGCGGGAAGTGTGCTGCATTGTGAGAAAATATTTCCAGCAGGAGAAAACAAATAAGGTCCACTCTTGGCAGTAAGCAAAGTTGTGGAGAGAACTGTAACAGCATTAAAAATTTCCAAAGACACTGTTCTTCAAATAGGCAAAGAGAAAATGAGAGCAGAGGAAGAGCAAGTGTAATCATCTCAGTTAGAAACGCCAGGGAAGATTTGAAAAATGTGTGACAAACATCAATTCCTTTCCGACCAAAGCAACTCATCGACACACTGATGAATATTATTCCCGGAAGGAGCACCCCACATTAAACAAATTCAAAG